GTTGCGATCCGTTGCCGGACACGGAAAAAGACAAAAGACAAAAAAAAAAAAAAAAGACAAAAATAAATAAATAAATAAATAAATAAAATAAAATAAAATAAAATTCAAGAAGCCTGTAACGGAGGCTTTCCGCCTCTTCATGGTACATCTGGTGACACTGGAAGGCCCATTCCCATGTCTCCATGACCTTAACATCAGCAGCTGATGCTTGGTTTGTTCCATTGAACCTTGTGAAAGTTCAGATGTCTTTGACAGGCTTGAATTAATTTTCACTTATTCTGCTGTTAAACTGTCTTTATCTTTAGCAACTTCTCCCATGAGAAACACAAAATACTGTTCTTTCTTTACTTTTTTGAGACCACACATTCACAGCTCAAATCCAGGCTCTTCCACTGTCAATCTGAATGAATACTGAATCACTCTGTGCCTCACTTTTATCACCTGTAAAATGGGCATAATAGTTAAATCTATTTAAAATAGGTTTTGTGAGGATGTGATGAAATAACAGCTATGAATCACTTAGAATGAGACTTGGCATATAGTGATTTTCCCAAAAATGTTAGTGCTTGATGTCCAAAGTCAGGATTTAGCCCTGGAGCTCTTTTCAGCTATTTTGAGAATTCTCGACTTCAATATATACATCAGCCTACATGATATCTCCACATAGATGCATAATATATATTTCAAATGTGGGCAAAAGAAAACTTTTTATTTTCCTGGCTAGATCTGCTCCTCTCCCACCTTTACCATTTCAGTAAAAGGCACTACTGTCCACAGTTGCTCTAGTGTGAAATTTTGGAGTTTTCTTTGTTTCTGCCTTTTAAAATTTCCCTTATCCAATTCATAAGCAATTCCTTTAAGTTCTCCTTCAGATGTAGCATATTCATCCATTTCTTCCAAATATTTTCCACTATTTTGATCCTGGTCTAAGTCATCATCATCCCTTGCCTGGACCACTGCAATAGCTACCCATTTGTCTCCTTATTTGCAATTAACTCCTTTCACATAACCAGAGTGAGCTTTTAAATCAGATCATCACATTACCTTGTTTAACAATCTCCAGCAGCTTCTCTCTGCAGCTAGAAAGAGATCTTAAATCTTTATGTTGCCTGGAAGAGCCCTGCATCATCTGTCTCTTGTCTGTCTGTCCACCTTTCCGCACCGCCATCTCCTCCTTCATCTGCCAGACACTTCCTTCTGGTTCTCAAATATGCCAACGTCTTTTGGGCCCTTGTGCTGCCTTTCCTTCTGGCTGGAATGAGCTTGCCCCTGTTCTTTGCACGGCTGGCTCCTTCCTGTCATTCAGATCTCAGCACAAGTGTCATTTCAGCTGACGCCTTCCCTGCCTACCCAGTCTAAAATAGACCCCCATCACTGCCAAAAAGCCCATTTAAAACTCTGTGCATGGTACGTATCGCTGAATCTCTTCTCATTTGTTTGCTAGCTGTCTGCTCCCCACTAGGAATAAACATCAATTTTCCCCTAAATTCTACTCCATTGCTGCTCATCTCTATAAATAATGGATCATCTTCTATTCTTTTACTCTTCGCTGACACCTAGAAGCTATTCAGGCTTGGGTTGTCGGATTAAGCAAATAAAATTA